CTAAGTCTGTGTTTGGCCCAGCCAATAGTTTCCCAAATTTTTCCAACTTGTATATCTCTTGTTCCATAAATTCAAGTTTCACGGCTCTTAGGGGTGAAGGAGGGCGAGTTGATTGAACTGGGGGAGGGGGTGGGGATGTTGATGTGGGGGGTGATTTCTTGGATGATTTTGAGCTTGAAGATTGATTTTTGTGTCTAGCTGATGAAAAAAAGAGATGTCTCATTGAAAATCCGCRTTTGTGTGGCATTGTACTTTACAAGATGTACACGAATACATGTATAAATCTAAAAATATTTGATTACTTACTTAAAATGCTCAAAGGTGATGGTCTTGAAACTTTGCTTTCCTCTTTTTTACTRGCAAGGCCCTGATGTGTGTTTTTTGCTTTTTCAATATCAATAGACAAACCAGCTCTCACTTCGCCGCCACTAATTGTCCTTATACGCTCCTCTGTCCCTTTTTCACCAAGTTCTTTTGTTGGATTGCTCTTCAATATTTCATCTTCAATGTCTGCCCAGGCATCATCCATTTTACTGTCAAATTCTTGGAATGACAGGGATTTGGGCTTCCCTTTAACTCCTGGAGCTGTGGCACTGAATGTATTATGTATATATTAAAACAATACTCCAGTTTCRAATTCAAAGCGAATAACCGCTGTTTTACTTGACAGCAGATTCTATTACGCAAAGAACTTACCAAAGACAAAAGAAAGCACGAGAAAATGTTGTTAATACAATAGAGCGCTAAGAATCTACATTTTCCCCGAGTTGAGGCTAACCCTGCTCATACAATGTACCTTAGGTCTTATGGGAATACAGGGATAATCTCAACTCGGGGAAAATGCAAATTTTCAAGTCTATTGTAATAACRACATTTTCTCATGYTCTCTTTTGTGTTTGTAAGGTCTTTGCGCAAGAGAATCTGTTGTCAAATAAAGCAGCGGTTATTCGCTATGAATTCGAAACTGGAGTATTGCTAGAATACTACTACAATTCAGAATTTTTTATATATACATAGAGTCAATGTCATACATTAGGACGTATAATATCATTCTTTAGGTCCTGTTCACACTACAACATAAGCATGTTGAACAAAAGAAAAGAGAAAGGAATGAATTGTCAAGCTTGCATCGATATAAGCATAGCAAGTAACATAAGGCAGAGCATAAGTTAATCAAAGACAAAGGAATTAACAGAGAAAAACTTCCTTTTTGTCTTCTTTGTGGAGCTTGTGCTTATGTTGCAGTGTGAACTGGCCCTAAATACTCAATGTAGCAAATTAATTAACTCAAATTTGTTCTTTGTATTATAAAAACTGTATCTCATTGACATTGTTAATTGCACTGTTCTACCTTATTTTCATTGACTATTTTGTACAAAATATTGCAATGACTAACTTAAGACAACGTGTAACCTTAAATATATATAAGCTTAGTAAGGTTTTTATTACGAATATGACATGCATTTTAGGTCCTAGACATATCCAATATTAAGCGCTATTTTACTTGCTATTACTCAATTAAGTACTGTTATAAAGGACGATATCTATATTACTAGACAAAGATGTTATAAGGCTGTAATACGCTGTTAAACTCACCTAACATCAGRCGAAACAGGCAGTGCAACACTCTGCTCATTAACATTGGTTACCACTGGCTTTATACTATCRAAATCAGAGTGAAAAAATGGTTAAATTGTTAAAAATATAGARAAATTAAGRCTAAAAAACCTGCCCTATTTCTTTACCTGCCAGGTAATTTGCTAGTATTTCTTTTCCAAAACGATTTCTTTGTGCTTCCTTCGAACTGAACCGATATAGGGTCCTGACATCGTTCAGCGCAGTTAAACTGAGTTCCCAGTGCAATGACTCGGTTTTTGGCGGCATCGCTCATGTTAATCAGTCACATAGACAAGCTCATTGATATTGCTAAATSCCAGGTTATATTGTTCRAATGTACGATACTCTAAATCATTGTGATCAAAGCTCACAAATTTGATTCCAAGTCATGTTTTTTTGTTGCTATTTTGTGATCGTGGAACAAGTCAAATGTTTTGATGCGCATGTGCGTTACTTTCAGCCTCACTCTGATGTACATTCATGCGGTTAACCGCTGACAAGAAAATCCACAAGTAATGTATGACCCGCTAAACATTTTATGTTAATCAATAGTTGAAAAAAAAATATCTTGGTCAATTTCAATCCCACGAGTCTTTGAATTTAGATTTCCATTAGCAAGTTTCGTTTCATAATGGATTTTTCATAAAAAAGATAACCTAACAGGCTTTAGCTAGCAGATTAAAAATGATAAGTGTTGTTGGTAAACCTTAAATATCATATTAATTGTCAGTTAAAGTTGTTTTTGTCATTTTCTACAATAGGCCTTTTGCAGATTGGGCTCACGTGACCACACCTACCTCACCTACCTTAAAAGAAAAAAACATATGCAAGAGCAAGGCTTGCTCTCCAGCTCTATTTTCCCATACGTTTCTTTAGAAAAATCAATATTTTACATTTGCTGTCATTTTTTAAGTATTTAGAGTTGAGAGACCTTTCCATTTTACCAACATAAACCTGCTCTGTCCATTTCTGAACATCATTTTTTGATAACTGAGTGATTTAAGGTAGGTGTGGTCACGTGACCCCCAGCTGCAAAAGGCCTATTATGGTTGTTATTTACGTTATTTACGAATTTAAGATAAAGAAAATAATGAAAATTTTGAATAAAACTTAAGGCCCCCCTCTGTTGATTATGTAATTTTACTTTGAGCCCCCCTATCTTGGCTCCAATTTTATGTAATGCATCCCCTCTCTATTGCACAGTCCCTAAGAATAGTTATTTAGAAGAACAGATCTGGTCGGCTCTTCCTGTAGTTGGACAAGGTACACTAATTACAATTTCATGTTCAAAGATGGGCGCTATGATAAATGTGYGTTTTTGACTTGAAAAAATCTAGGTTYTTCCTTGACGGGTTTTACTGAACTCATAGTTTCAAAAGTGCAGGATATGAAAACGGAACAAACGAACTAAAAATACATCATCATACTTCAAGTTTAGTTTGAAGTTCATTGCGTCGTTGGTAAAAAAAWTTAATTAAACAAGGCCCCATTGGGATTGTGGGGAAAAATCCGGAAAATAAGGGCAAGGTGATTAGAGCTAAATCGTGTTGCCAGGAAACTTAAACATTAATGCCTAAATTGACTTGTAAAATATAAGACGTGTCCCTTCGTAGCCTGATACTCAGGCTAGTCCCTTCGCTGCTACATCGACCCCCTTTGATTCTGATTTTACCACATSGATGATTGTTTTCATAACATTTCTCCCTACCACTCGCATATTTATGGATAGTGTCATGATGGTTTATTTTGATGATCGAATACCGATCGTACAGATTAGCAAGAAAAAAATTAGTCTATTCTACTTTTTTCAAGAGGTTTTAGGTATTAAGTTCATATACTGATATAAGTTCAAGAAAGTAAGTGAAAATGGCACAAAAGAGTTTGAAGCTATGAAATACGGCCAGACATACGGGCATTTATGCTAATAGCAAGTTACTTGACGAAATTCCGTGTTTGATACTCTGATCAAAACACGCGGKATGTAGGGAGAGCACGAGAGAAGCGTAGGAAACCACGACGCGTAGCAATGGAGAACCCGCGTAGAACACAGACCAATTATTTTTATCAGAGAGGGGAGTCTCTTGGTATTAAAGAAAAAAATATTTGTTATTTCATTTTAAGATAAAATTCTATTTCTATAACGATAAATATTTGATTGATATTTAATAAAAGCTATTTTATAAAGATTTTCAATTTCTCTTTGCGTTTTAGCTTTGATTTTTCGGACAGAATAAAATGGCAGGCAGCCTACTCCACTGGGTCGAGTTTTGCTGTGCAAATTCCTCCTGTCGGGGGGTTATGTTTACAACATAAGCTTGTCAGCTTTGCGCTGATTGGCTAGTCGCATTTTCTCAAATCACCCAGAGTCGATCAAGCAGAATTTTCCTTTATCATATGATAATAATGTAAGGTAATATAATACAAGGGTAAGAAAATTTTATGTTTTGCTGTCATATTTCTACAGCGTATATGCTCTAGTAATTAAAGCTAGAATCATAAATGTCATAATAATATAAAACTCTCACAACCAAACACTTAAGGAGTGCGATGATCGTCGATAAACAACCGGGAGTTAGTTGGGATGGCGGGGTCTTTTTTCGCTTTTATTTTCGTTGAGAAAAATTGGTTTATAAATKAAGATATGCAGAGATCGTCCGAAATTGAGCAAATTTCTTGATCAATGTTTGTAACATCATCGTGGCAGTAGTTACTTTATCTATATCAAACGCGTACTAATTGATCTTTTTCAAGCATTCCCATGAGATTCAAAAGATAAAAGGGCGGCGCCCATGTTGGACGAACGAACAATAGATACTAATGAGAATATTCCTTTGTTAAATTTCCTCCAAGATGGCCGCTGAGACGTACAGTGTGAAAACGAACAATAAATACTTCATTAAGAGTGATATCCTCCTCACTTCTACATCAGGACGTAGGTGATGCTTAATGTTGATTGGCTGCTTATGAAAACAATGGAAATACAACTCTTAAAGATCACTTCACCGCCTGAAAGAACTCTTTCATAATTTTGTTACGAAGAATCAGTGTGGAAAAGGAGTGGAGATTACTTGTACTAAATTCAACGAGTTTACTCCAAACCTTCATAAGAAAAGCTAAGTGGACGGTGAGTTTTATCTAGTACTGGCTCGCAATTTGTGTTTTAGTCTAATTCGATATATCTATTTGCACGCAAATAAATCTATTAAGTTCATAATGAAACAAGGGTAAACAACTAGAAATTAGAACCAAGCTACTTCGGTTTTTACCTGAAATACCGGGGACTTGAAGTAAAAGGAGCGCCCTAATACTTTTCAGTATGACTTCCCATTATTTTTTTCAAAGGTTTCGTGATGTTTCAGTGTGGTGAGCCGATTGATTTAGTAGGAGAATTAATATTTTGTGCAATCTTATACGAATTTCTAACTTTCGATCGACAAAACATCTTGGGGTGCACATCAATGCTATAGATGTTCATCACCAGATAGAACGAAATTTGTGCTTGCTATATATGGTACAAGAGGGGCCTACGGGTTCATGGGAGAAATATATCTGTTCTTATGTCCCAGCCAGCTGTAGGTCACATCTGGTTGCTAGCAAAGTTATAAGACAAAAAGTTATAAGTTTTAAATCACGYCGAGGAATAGGCTCTAGGAATTTTCCCAAGAAACTCTTCACAACCTTTTCAGGAAGGAAAATTATGAATATCTCTGAGTTTTTTTGTGAGTTTTTTTTACAATTAAAAATTCTAGTTCTAAATAACTTTCCCAAGAAAAAAAATAGTATAAGAACAGTTATTTAGAAKAACAGATCTGGTCGGCTTTTCCTGATGGTAGGCCCGCACTACTCTATCAATTCTGAAACTTTTTGCTATTCATCAACAGAGAGGGAATGTTCATTTCAGTGAAGACGTATTGTCATTATAGCGAACAGGCGTACAATAAAAAGAATAACGCCAACGGAGCCTTAGTCCAAGATGAACGTTCTTTAGCATGTTCGCAGTTTTGGACATTTATGTGCGCAATAGCATAAAATGTTTAGCGTTGTATTGTTTGAAGCTTCTTCTTCAGAAAAGGGACGTATAGCGACTTTTAAAAAGTCTYGAGGTATTGTGTTCTCCCCACTTGACGTCAAATTTATCCTTTTGAATTTCTTTTGTATTGTAAAAATTTCAAAAAAATATATTTGACGTCAAGTGCGGAGAACACAATACCTCGGGACTTATCAAAAGGGTGTATAGTTTAAGAAACACACTCGGTGATTACCTGTCAATTTCATATTCAAAGATGGGTGCCGTGATAAGTGTGTGTTTAGTTTTTGTAATTATGTCTTACTTGTCAAAAGAACCAATTATAGATAATTTCTACAATCGAGAAAGGGTTATATAAACAGCCAAATGAGCCTGAATAAGTCGTTAAGATGTTTCAATTGCATAAATTACCCATAATTAGCTCTTTATTATCTTGGGCCATGCTTTGTTTAAAAGAGGTAGGGTTGTCTTACGTATCCCATATATGGTATTAACTAACAAACGTATAGAGGTCCCTAACAAGCGAATAGAAGCACCTAACAAGCGAATAGCGGCCCCTAAGGAATCCCAATTTCCCGGTGCTATTAGCAATGCAAAATACTTTAAATGTCACAAACAATTCGTTGTTTGCCAGCTTAATCTCTCCGTGGTCAAGATAGTTAAGGCGCTTTACATTTGTAGTCGAAGGGTTAGGTTTAGGGAAAAGGACGGGTCAGGCTATAAAATCTTAAATTCATAATTCTAAGTTAAAATTTGATAAGAAAACTTTYAATAAGTTAAGGCGTAGCTAAAAAGCTCGAATAAGTCGATAAAAAACTGTAGAAAAATAAACAAGTGAAAAAAAGTATGGACCCCTGTTCGCTTGTTAGGTGCTYCTATTYGCTTGTTAGGTGCTTCTATTCGCTTGTTAGTTTGTGCCATATATGGAATACGTACTACAAACCCGCCTCCCTAATAAAGCGGCACTCACTTCGTATTGAATATTGCGTTTATATAATCAGCTTTAGTATAAACATATTAATGGTCTATCACTCATACTGCGCTGTGRTTGGCTACTCTACTAATGGTCTAATTTGTGATAGACCACTCGCGGGAAAATCAAAATAAAYAAATTCTAAATTCTAAATTATTTTAAGGATATTTCAATTTGTTTTCATTATTTGTTTATACTAAAACAATTAGACCTCTCGGCCTCGTAGACTACGAGCTAGTAGCCCATGAGGCCGAGTCCGCGAGGCCGAATGGGCTATTACACTATTAGCTCGTAGTCCACGAGGCCGAGAGGTCTAATTGTTATAGTATAAACATTTATAAATCGCGGACTCGGCCTCATGGGCTATTAGCTCGTAGTCCAATTGACCTCGAGGTCTAATTGTTAAATAGAAATCGTTGAATAATGAAGA